TCATCGATCGGTGGATAGTATCTATCAAATGAATGATCGGTCGGCACCGGGGCTGACGTGAGGGGAGGCAATGTCCACGAGCCCACCCACGGAGGCTCGTACGGCGCTCTTGTCGTTGTATACTGGAGGTGATGAACGCCCGACTGTCCGCCACCGTAAACATTATTGGTTGAGCCGGCGGTCACGTGATGGACGGTCTGCTCTCCGGAACCCGAACCGTCAATACAGTCCTCGTCGTCGTCACACTTATGGGACACAACGGATGTGTCGGTTGACGGCAGAGCATAAGGAGGAACAGCTGTCGCCGATCTCGGGCTAGAAGTGTAGACCGGAGTTATCAGATCATCGCCCGAACCCTCGACTTTACTGCAGTCGTCCTATTAATGGCATAAATATTGGCATAAATTGTGAATTAAAATCACTCAATAAATGAATGTCAAACCTCGTCGTCGGCATCGAAACAACCGCTTCCGGCGCCCGAATAGATGAGGTCATCCGTGTCATAGACCGGCGAACCCTTTGGCTGTTGATAATCATAACATTAGTTCAATTGAAAAACATGTCTAATTGTAGTCAATACAATACCTGCTGCATCTGAGGATCACCGCTACTCTCCATACGAGTGCTATTTTCGTAGATATCGGCTGAACCGGTCTGTTGTCCGCCGTTTTTATTCTTGTTCTCATTGCTTATAGACATCAATAGTTTGACGTCTCCCTCGACGGTAATGCGCGAGTCGTCTTCGACGGCCATATCGAGGATGCGGTGACCGTTGAACACGAATCCGGCGACAATGCCGTGGAAAGGCTTCTCAATGGCGTCCCTCACCGTATTCTTCTTACCGCCGATCTGTACCTTCGAGTGGCTGTTAAATATCGTTAACTGTCTGCCGGCCGGAGCTTTGCTCATAATGTTATGATTGTCCACTTGAATGGTCGAGTTCTGACCGGAACGAGTGAAGCGCACGATATGGTACTTATCGTCGTTCACTCTGAAGGACAACTCTCCGATGTCGAGGTCTTCGGTGCCGAGATTGTAGACCATTAGGACATTTCCGTCGACGAGTTCGAGTTCCATGTAGTCGTTGGAAGTGCCGCTCTCTATGCGCACGAGTACTGCGTTCTCATCGGTGGTCAGGAATCCGAGCGCCAGTAAGTCGTTCTTAGTGTCCGGCCGTTTGTCCGCCGGAAAGTTGAATGTTATGAGACCGCTGTTCGCCCCGAACTGATAGGCAGTGCTCTCTATTCATGCCATTCAAGCGTTAAATACAACAAAGAATAAAACAAAACCAATTGTTAGAGACTTTTTTGTCATACGTTTCGCAATTCATCGCTTCAGTGAATACATGAAAACACACACAGAAATCAATCCGAAAGTCATTTATAAGGATATTCTTTACGACAAGAATAATAATAAGTTTCTCAAAGAATATATGTTTTCACGTAATCTTCGCAAACAAAAAGCAATGAAAAGCAACGGGCGTTCACACAAGGGGTGGACAGGGATCTAACACCTAGATATAATATTTAGTATTTACCATTACCATCAGCGCACGTCGGCCCGGAATAGGAGGTCATATCACAATCACAGGCATAACTATTCCACATTTGTACACATATACCTCTGTTAGCACAGGCAGTGTTACTGCACTTTGTGACCGGACCCGCACAACCCGGCGCTACCAAAGTGCTCGGTATGAGTACGTCGGCGCCGCTCGGGTCGATGGTCTCGCCGTTCAGATCCAACGACGCGATACAGCCCTCAAAGCCGTGTCGCGATTGAATCAATTTGGGCAAAGAGTCGTACAAATCGGGCCGAACGCCACCCAAATACAACAGACCCTCGAGGTCGAGGTGCACGTTGGCGCCCGTACTCGACACTGTGGCCAACATGTCGTCCACCATAAGCGTGTGCTGACGCAGCGATGGCCTCCCGATTGTGATGGCGTGCCATCGGTTGTCGTTAAGCGTTGTTCGGGTGTTTGAGCGCACTTTGCGGGCGCCGTCACCCAAATTGAAGATATAGTTCAAGTGTCCCGACTCTAACTCAATGGCCATAAAGTCTTGATTTTTGCCGGCGTTGTACAGCAGTATTCCGTCCGACTCTAGTGTCTTGAACTGGAGGTACAGATTCATTGTGGAGTAGGCCTTGAGTTGGGATAAGCCGATGAACGTGTGCCGGGACTTGAAGGTGACGGGATGGTGAACCACTCTCTCCTTTTTGCCCACTTTGGCCGTCACGTTAAAGTTGCTGATCTGGCCGTCTCTGGCCATCTCGAAGTATGGATTGCCATTCATCACAAAGTTCTGCATCAGTCCCACAAAGTTTGGCACATCTTTCGTCGAGTAATGATGTCCTGAGTATTCATTACACCAAATGAATAGAGAGTAATAAAAGTATGAGAAAAGAAACAAAAATACGAACAACAATACAATTCTTGTATAGGAATTTCATTGTATACTTTGCGTACAGAATCGCACAATTTATGGATTCTGTAGCGTATTATTTCACTATCCATAGGGAATAAAAGGGTCAATGAGTTTTTTGGGAGCCCTATCCCTGCGGTGCGTGTGTGTGAGTGTGTGTGAGTGCGGCTCTGTCTGTGTGTTTGCGAGTAATGAATCGAAACAATTGAAAATCAATATTTCAAACAATAAAAAACTAATCAGTTTTCTGTGTCTCAAAATTATAGCCGAAATGCCTTTTCCGTGAGACTCTATTATACAGTGTATATACGGTATACACATATTGTGTAGACATTGTGTGTGCACTGGTTTTTCTCTTACTTATACATTATATGCACTCTAGAAATTGGTTTTCAATGTTTTCAATGCTTTTTTCTTATGCCTGATATATGTATTTTTCTCGACACTACTTTATTTTCAATCTACTTTTCATACCATGTATTATATAATGTATTTTCTTTTTTTAAAAATCTAATCAATAAATTATATCCAAACTTATATATGTATTTTGTTGTTTGAATACTTTTAGCCCAAATAATAAAATACTTGAAAAATGCAAATATAAGCACAAAATGAAAATATTTTTATTATTATGTGTAGTATTTTTCGAGAGTTAAAAATCTCGTAAATCGATCGATATATTTATTATGGCCTAAAATTATTAATATTAAAGTATATATCCATATATTTATGCGAAGATATTTGTTTAACAAAATTATTACAACGAAAAAAATTAAACAAATATTTATCTAAACATAAAATATATTCTTATGTGTATTTAAACTCCAACTCAATGACAGACAGCGAGAAATGTTTGCAAATAATAGGAAAAATTTTTTAAATTACATATTTTTGATTAAAATTTAATGTTGAATTCAATTAAATATGATAAATCTGTTTGAATAATATATTGATCTATAAATTATTATAAAATGAATACATTGGACCTTTGATAAGACTTATATAGGGGTTTATTTTGTTAAAACCTGAAACAACTCCAACACATGGTTAAACCAATTTTTAAAAATTGATAATTACTAATAATATTAACTATTATGCAATCAATAATCAATAATTTAAAACATTTTGAGACCGAATAATAACCAAATATTGCGATAAACCATTTCATGCGAAAATAAATAATATTTTTCTAAAATTAATATCTTATTTCTATTGAAAACATGGCACGATTGCAATTACTTATCAATAAAATGTCACAACTATACCAAAAAACTATTTACAAATCATTGATAACACTATTTTGACAAATATTTTTAGCTTTTGTACACTATTATGATTTTCCCACCTGGTCACACTAGGGATAATATGCTATAGTGTATACTTTATAATTTATACTACACTTGTATATTGTATTAATAGTCAAAATCAATATTCTTGTAATATTCCGGTAATAATCAGGTTTGAAATATTGATTGAAACAAAAACAATCTATAATTATCAGATATTTTTATCAATTATTAGATTTATATTCTGTACCTCTGTTTCCCTCACTTCAACAAAACAACCAAAAATAAAATAAATTGAACCAAAATTTAATAGAATATAATAAATAAAATAAAATATGTATTTAGTTATTTATAAAGAAATGAATTGTGAGTTGTAATAAACTTTAGTTAATTACAGAGAGCTTTGATTGTATGAAATGATGTGAAACCATATATTGAAAAGAAAATGAAAACGTAATGTTTACCGGAGTTGTGATGTGTCTTGTGATCAGTGAGTGAATGGGCGCCGATATGGATGGAAGCGATATGTAGAGTAATCAACTGACCGGTGAGTTCGGCCATCTGGACCTGTTTGTCGAGCTTCACCTCAATGGATGGTCCGCGACGTTCAATACGCAAAGTGTGCCACAAGTCGTCGTTGAGACTGTGGCCGATGTGCAGAACCCGAATGCCTTCTCCCATATTGAGGGACACTTTGGCTCGACTCGACTCCAACGATACCGTCAAATGTGTAGCCGTCAACGCCGGTGCAAAAGAGCACCAGTGATCGGACAGTAATGATCATCGGTGTTATTGCTATCGGTTTGATAGTTGTTGTGATTATAGCGCCAATAGTGTTGTTCTTCAAAGTCCGGTACCGAACGGACACCACATATAAAATAGACGAAACTAAAAGCTATCAGTTCGCGCCCGTAGTGTCGGCGTCGCCGTCGCTGATGGCCTCAGGCTTACCGCAGACCCATTTGGTGGGCGGTATGTCTCGCACTTCGCCCACTGATCACCACAAACCACTCCTCAATATGTCCAACAAAAAGAAAGACTTGAAAGAGTGGTACGTCTGAAACCAAGAGGAAACTAGACATCACCAACACATACACTCACACACCAGTCCTTACTTGATAGAGTATGCTGTACACGAGTATTCTGTACTCTTATAAGAAATCCCTTAGAGTAATAAGAATACTAAATTTACAAACCTATGATATATAAGTATTGGGTTTTCGTTATGAGTTATTATTTTGACAACGTTTTTATTTAAAATAGTGATAAATCCAATCGATAGACATAAATCAAGTGATAATAAAATGTTTCGCAAAATTAACGCAAATCTTTCCCACAAAAAAGACAAAAACATCGATTTTTGAAGGTATGGTTTAATGAATAATTATTATGTAATGTACAGAATATACAGTTATATATGTAATGATATTACAATCATTATTATTATTACTATTATATGAAAATGAGTTCTTTGTTAGTGTTATATAAATGTATGATTTGTTAACAAGAAGGAGGGAATTGATTGAAATCGATCCACAAATTTGAATAATGTATGTATTATTGTATATCATATATGATAACTAAAAAAAGATACAGTATTTAATGTTTTTCTGTCTGTCAATACAATTAATGTCCTAAAAACTACTCATTTTTATGGAAAGAATAATTATTAGTTAATAATAAGGATATTTTCAATGCATGTGACAAAACAACACACATAATAATAATGACAATTATATATTCCGGGCCTTTCAATCATATAAGTCCTCCACACAAACAAACAAACACTTCAATCATTAATTTCAATGATATTCTGTATTATATTTTGTTCATAACATACATGTATAGAGAGAATCAAATTCTGAATCAATCAGTGCTTTGTTTTATATATAATAATAACTGTATATCTCATAGAGTAATCAAATTATACAATCGGTTTCACGTATTAATCAAATCACTAATTAATTATTTCGTAAAGAATACCACAAAATAAATGAATTGAATTGTTTATATCATAGATAAAATTAAATGTTGTTTTTTAACTGTAAAATATATTATTGATTAATATATAAGACCACTGATTGAATTGGAAATAAAATAAAAATTGTGTAATGAATACAATGGTGTTCATAACTTCCGTAGTTTAATAATCAATTAAATTTGCCTATAAATCAAAACGATACTTAATTATAATTACATAAATTTTAGTTGTGTTTAATAATGATAAATGAATAACATTCTCTAACACACCGGACTTTATAAATAATGGTAACAAATGTCAATCAATTTACTTAACACTTCACTTAATAATGAAATTGTGTTGTGAATTGAATACACAAATAGTGTTATAAAGATTCATAAAATAATCAAATTTAGGATCAATTGAATTTGAAAATGCATTTGTGTCTAAAATTGACAACACTTTTCAACACACAATTTGATTGTAATTTTTTGTATCAATTAATATGCGTTTGGATTTCCATATAATTCACATCTAAAATGCATATTAAATTGAATTAAATTTTACGTCACAAATGAAGGCTCTGATAAAAAACAAGAAATATAAAAAAATTTTAATTAAGATAATGTCAACAATGTATACAAACACATAATAAATTGTCTTAAACTTAATGATTATATATTGGATCCAATGATCAATTGGATTAAACAAATAATTAAAACCTAAACCCAAATAATTGTCACAAAAACCAATACAACTGATAAAAACCTAATTAATTGTCAATTCTTTAATCAAATGGTAAATATTATATGAGTTTATAATCCAAGCAAAGATTTAATTGACAATCATTTGAGTCATTGATTTCGTTTCAATAATAATAATTAATAATAATAATCATGTCTTTAATCAATATTTCCTTTTTCTATATTTTGTCAAATACTAAGAAATCATTGTTTTTTCGGTACAAAAACCATAAGATATCAACAAATTTGGGAATAAATGACACATTCATTGGTTAGACTTTTTTATTGTATTGATTATACATTTTTCTAATGATAAATACTATATTAAATGAATTTTTGATTAATTTATAGAATGATTTATATATTATTTATTAATTGAATTAAATTATTATTATAATTGTATTTTTCTTCTCATTTCGATATATTTGTAAACGATTTGTCGATAAATAAAAACAACAAAAAGATTATTAAATTTGGAAAAATAAAAAATTCAAAAAACTTAAACTTGTATTTCATTTAAGACTCAGTTGTGTAGAATATTCTGCACATAAAACTCATGTATAAAATAAGCTTTGATTCCTTTAATTAATGTCACATTCAATATAAAAAACACAATTTTTGGGATCATATCGTTTGGCTAATCCACGGCAAAGAATAGGACGAATCCGATTACTTACATCAGATACAGTACATAGAGAGAGAGAGATAATTAATGCCACAATTAATGGACCGAAAAATATAAACAAAATCTCTGAATGAGTCAAAAGTTGGCACAAAATGTCAACACAAAAGTGAACGCCATTTGTGTGGCATTGACTGCGAGAGAGAGAGAGCAAGTATTGACTTGAATGTGAAGCAAAAATGTACACTTGAACTCATTCTAAAAGGGATTACAAATACGAGACCGACATCTCCTTTAGATTCACATTTAAGAGGCTTTTCATCGACGGATCGGCGAGAATACAGTACAAGAATAATGTTATTACTCTCTAATCCCTATTAGTGTCGCAAGAATTCAATCGACACTAAATATGAGGCAATAATAAAAAGGTTGTTTTCATAGAAAAACCTCTATTTTGGGGATTTAGCTATTGATTGAGAGGCATATCAGAGCCAATACTGTATAAGCGTATGACATAACTGGGCTCTCAAATAATAGGCTCACAATTTGTGTTATTTTTGGTAATTCTGGTGCCAAAGAATCTCTAAGCTATTTAGTAAACCAAATGTATTGCTAAATCCCATCAAAACATAGACACTGTTTATATGAATATTTCTAAAATATTCGTGTATTGAGTTATATTGATCTATATTTTGATGTTGTTGTTGAAAAATAAAATCACATTTAAGGCACATTTGCTACACGTTTATCAAACATTTCTGCATATTTTATTTGCAACACATTTTAATGCAGTATTTATTTAAAATTATTAACAAATTTAAAATTTCATAGGAATTTGTTTTAAAATCAAATGAAATGTTTATATTTTAGATCAAAATTTCTAACAAACATATGAATTAATATTTTAATTATAAATACCATATCTATGTTATCATATCATATGTTATTATAGATACAAAGTATAGTTTCAGCGAAATGTTTGCAATCAAATCGGAAATACACGGAAAATGAGTGATCAATGAATAAAAACAAATACCCAGTGATAACTGGGGTAACCTATCACTGAATGTCTATTTAATTAATTACTTGACAAATGCATTGAATATAAAAATAGCTGCAAAAAACAAGCCAACGATTGGATTGGAAATAAACACTAGTTATTTATATGTTGGCAATCAGTTTCTAAGCGCTGATTAAACGGATAATTAAATATTTAAATATTAGTCATATGTTTTTGGCATTAATATTGATTTGCAAACAACTGTTTTGATTTTTTTTCTGATTTAATTTTCATTATTGAATTCTAGTAAACATGAAATTCTTTAAAGAGTTGACCAAAAAAGTGAGAATTCTGTCACTTTTTAGAGTAAGAAAGCGTTTCAACGACAGAATTAGCGATTCTGTGCTCTTATTGATTGTGAATAAACTCGATGTCAACGAGAGATTGGATTTGCAATTAGTTTGTAAGAAATGGAAACTTATTGTTAAGCAATCGTTTGAGAGACAAGAAGTACTTATTATTAGCGATGAAACATATTTCCCAATCAGACAGTGTCTGCGCGAAAGTGGCCTAAATATCGTTCACCGGAATCAATGTCTTATAATCCCAAACTGTGACCATTTTATTGATAGAAATATTTTGCATTTATTTGCAAATTTACGGACTATTTGTTGGATCACTCGGTGTTTGGAGACAGCCTTCCCATCAATCACTGAATCGATCGGCAATTATAACAATCATATAAATCTACAAAACGTCTATCTGTTTGACATCTCGACGTTTGAAACGACAAAAATGTATTTATATTTTGAAATATTGTTTATTTAAGTATTAATTTGTTATTTATATACGAAATGTATGTTTTGTTGTTTCCTTTCAGAATAAGTATTGAAAACAATGCGAATTCATTGCAGTTAATGCTAAATAATTGTCAAAATGTGGAAAACATTAAAATCTATTCATTTTTTAATAACATATCCATTAATGAGACAACGATTAAGTCATTGAAGAAGTGTTGCGCAAACTTGGATTCAATTGATATAAGATGTCTGTCTGTTATCTAATAAATTATTTAATGAATACTTTGTAATAAGTTTTTATTTCGTAAAAATACTATTTAAAGTGTAGGCAATAATCAAATGAAAAGATTAATGAATAACTTATTCTGTGGTTTGAAAGCAAAACAAGTTTTATCTCTTGGGAGGGAATAAAGCAAATCTCAATTAATTATTTGAAACACGATTTTAAGCCAAAATTAGTCAAATATTTGTCTTCAAAAGTTTTTTGTTAGTTATTCGCCGAATATCTCGAATATTCGGAATGAATCACATGAATAACTATCATATAATTGATGGTATAATTGATTCCTTGCGTAGTCGTCAACACCTAATATGGGATACAATCCGTGGGATTATGTATGAGATTTTGAAGGCAACGGTTGTTGTTTGTCGTCGACGTTATAAATACCGGTTCTATTCAGACATACAGTGCAGACACACAACTGTTCAGTGCTTAGGAAAAAAGTTTTTTGTTTCAAAAGTTGGTTGAGAGAAAAGTATAGCCCGTTTGCAATGCCTCTGTCATCTCCGCGACACACCCGACACTATTGGGACGTCTGGCCCGACAAAGTGATGAGAGAGCGCTTTGTTCACGATTGGGACGATTGGCAGGATTTTCAGGACAATTCCCTGACGTCTCGCAATCGGCGGTCAGAGTTGGCCCGAAGAAGTGACGATCAGTCCAAGAATCAGGTGCTGGAAGACAAGACTCGATTCCGTGTTAAGTTAGACGTCTCTCACTTCAAGCCCTGGGAGGTTGAGGTGAAGTACGCGGACAACAACATTGTGGTCACCGGTAAGCACGAAGAGGTTGAGGACAAACAGGGTTGGGTCAGCCGTCAGTTCAGCCGCCGATACGCTCTGCCCGAAGAGTACGACTCGGATCTGTTGAACTCGTCGCTGACCGCCGATGGAGTGCTGGT